TTATACATAAGGAGAGATACCGATTGTGTGAATGGGCACCAGTAAGAGGAACAGTGGATATTTGTGTCAGTTTTCTGACAGAATTCTCTGTGTTGGCAGGTGTCAAGTGTGAGGTGCAGCTGGTGAAGTCAGCAGGGGAAGCTTGGTACTGCCTGAAAATTCCCTAAAACTCTCCTGTGCTACCTATGGATTCACATTTGGTGACCATAGCATGAGCTGGGTCCGCCAGGCTCCAGGGAAAGGGCTGGAGTGGGTCGCACAAATTAGAGACAAAGCCAGTAATTATGCAACATTATGGGGAATCTGTGAAAGGCAGATTCACCCTCTGAAGAGACGACTCCAAAAGCAGCGTCTACCTGCAAATGAACAGCTTAAGAGATGAAGACACTGCCACTTATTACTGTGCAGTGAGAAGACTTCTGTAGGAACCCCTACATTAACCGTCCTGAAAGAGCTCTATGAACCAGCAGGGGGCGCACAGTGTACATAAATATCAGGGACAGGACAGGAATTGTTGCATACATAACTGAGTCCCACTTTTAGCCCAATCAGACTCCACTGTTAGCTCAGTCAATGGTCCTGATAGTCATGACATTAAGGTATTGAGCTATGGAAATCGTGCTAATACCAATGATCTAATCTATGTCTCCTTTTATTTCTTTGACCATAGCAAGATTTTCCCCAATTACCACTGATAAATTGGCATAGAAGCAGCAGATTTCTAATGCCATGCAATGCCCCTTTCATAAAAAGAGGGCACATTCTCATTTCGTTCTGCAGAACAACCTTTGTGAAGCAAGCAGCTTTGTTCTCTAACCTGGAAAGAAATTTCTCTAAAAGGCCTGAGTCTAAATCTATCTGGGAACCAAGTTCTTCAATGCTTTGGTTCACAACAAAGAGTTGGCTAGCGCAGTTCAACCTGCTATTCCAGATTCTAAAATTATCAGGACTAGCACTGGGGCCCATTTGACCTTTGTTGATACCGAGTTAAGGCTAATATGATCTCTTACCTCTTCTCTTGAATGAATTTATACCGGGAGAGTGAAATGTGATATGAGAAAAGAGTCAAGATCATTTTGGGAAAACCCACAGAGATAATGGCTGACCGGAGTAAGAGGGAGTTCATCAAATCTGGAATGACAACTGGGGAACCTGCATGATACTGAACTAGACTCCATGAATGTGGGAGAGAGTTGCGGGCTTAGGTAGTTTGTGGGGCTTCTGGCAGTAGAACCAGTATTTATCCCTAGTGCATGAACTGGCTTTTTGGAGCCCATTTCCTATGGATGGATATCTTGCTCAACCTGGATACAAGGGGAGGGTCTAAGTCCTGCCCCAAATGATGTGATATACTTTGATGATCACCCCTGGGAGGCCACAACATTTGGATAGTGGATGAGCTGTTGGGATGGGGAGATGCTCTGGGCAGTGACGGGGTGGGAGGGAGAGGGACTTGGAATTGGTATGTTAAAATAAGATTGTTTTAAAAATAAAAAAAATTTAAAAAATGATCTCTAGAAAACATACTAAAATTCTTTGTTTCTGAAAACTATTGAGCCTGATGTCCACAGTTTAGAATGACTCTGTGAGAATGTGCCGTAAAGCAGTGCTTAAATCATTCTACTGCTTTTCTAAACCAAAGTACCAAAGTGCAAAGTCCTCCCAACAAGAACATGGTCAGGCTCATCACAGCAATACCTCAGTCCCCAGTACCATCTTCTGTCTTAGAAACTCCATGACCATGTCATCTCTTATAAAAGTAAATGTTTAATTGGAGTACATTCCTTATAGTTCAGAGGTTTAGTCCATTATTGTCACGGCTTGAAGCAAGGTAGCCTAGAGTTAGACATAGTAATGGATAAGGAGATGAGAGTTCCTATTTCTTGATCCACAGGCAACAGGTACTGGCCAGAGATTGGTGTTACTTGATCATATATGGGACCTCAAAGCCCACCCTCAGAGTGACATTCTTTTTCCAACAAGGCCATACCTATCCCAACAATGGCATGCCTCCTAATAGTGCAGAATTCAACATCCAGGTTCTGAAGTGACATATTAAAAGCTAAATCCCAGACAAGATCAACCCTGTCTAAATAGGAATGCCTGTCAAGCAGGTGGTGCTCACAGTACACATTAAGAGGAAACTAGAAAAGCAGGTGCACAAAGGCTCTAGCAATGGAGTTTCCTGAGTCCATCCAGATTTCCTCCCCTTTTTACTTACAAGAAATATCCTGTTAACCAAATGTTTTGTAATGTTTCCCTTGTAGGAACCAAGGAACAAGGGATTACAGACCATTATAACTGTTTTTTTTTTTAACCCAAGAATGTCACAGATTTAAAAACAGAAATTCCACAATCCAGGGCCTATATATTTACCACAAAGACAGTTGCTTTCACAGTGCAATAAGTTCCAAACTTTTAAATTGGGAAGCAACAATCTATCCTTTATTAAGGAAAGGTGGGCAGATATATCAATCGTCTTAATATTGAAACTTAACCCACAACAATCACAGATGTCCAATATGCAGGTAATCTGGAGAATGGTAAAAAATGAACACTTATTATGCTGTAAGACACATAGTGTGGGGACATAAGTTTCAGTCCTGATGAAATCTCCCAGAAACAAGCTCAGGATGATCAGGGTGTGCTCAGCACTGACTGAGGAGAAGAGCAACCCAAGAGTAAGAGCAGATATACTTGAGAGCTCCACTCTGGAGTGGGGGCTGGATCTCAACTGGGGGTTTCCAAGAGACCTTATTCAGGTTTTCCAGTCTACTGTAAGACCAATGTTGTCTTTGAATATAAAGTGTTCTGATTTGTTTGACTGTGATCTTTGTTTTAAAATGGCAGTTTGCCACAGGAACAAAGAGCATAAACTACCCAAATCACACCCATTCTGAACGAAATGTGTTTTTGATGGTCACTGGGATCAGATTGGAAGAAACACAGGGATAGTAGACAGAATAAGAAATTCAGGGTAGATCCTCGATGGGATTTTCTGATTATTACAGCATTTGTTATTGTTACACTACAGAGTGGAGGATAGAATAGGAAGATACATAGGTGGAGGATATAATAGGAAGATAGAATATGTAAATACAATAGGAATGTGACCAGGGACTGGTAATCCTTATAGGATCTGACACCTTGTTCACTCCCTGATGACTTAAGATAAGAGAATATATAACAGTTTTCAGCCAACAGTACATTTATTATTTCATTTTTTTATCTCCAACTTCTTTTTGTATTATATATTTATTTTTGCACCATGTGTGTATCTACTGCCCATGGAGGTCTAAAGAAGGCATTAGATCACTGGTGATTGGAGTTGCATATGGGTATAAGTCACCAAGGGGTTCTGCTAACTAAATATCAGTTCCTAAAAGAACCACCAGTGATCATTTTGTTTTATGTTTGTTTTATTTAGATGTTTTATTTTGCCTATTGATCCCAGTTCACTCTCCCACAACCTCTGTAAAATCCCCCATTCACTCCCTAAAGAGTGAGAGGCCTTCTAGGAGGAATAATCAATATCTGTCAAGTCATTTGGGGTAGGGACTAGGACCTCCCTCCTGTCACTTGTTTCTCTATGGGGAATGTGCCCCTGAAGTATGCTATTGCACTAGGGATACATCCTGGTTCCACTGTCAGAGGTCCAATACACTGCCCATGCCTTCTAAGTGAGGCCCATGTTCGGGCTGTCTGGGTCAGTCCTATGCTGGTTTCTTAGCTATCAGTCTGGAGATCATAGGCTCCCATTTGTTCAGGTCAGCTGTCGCTTTGGTTTTCTGCAGCCTGGTCTTGACGTCTTGGCTCATCACTCCTCCCTCTCTGCAATTGGATTCCAGAAATTTGGCTCAGTGTTTAGCTGTGGGTGTCTGCTTCTGTTTCCATCAGATACTGGATGAAGGCTCTAGGATGGCATATAAAGTAGTCATCAATTTTATTATCAGGAACAGACATTTAAGGTAGCCTCTGCACTATTGCTCAGGTTGTTAGTTGGGGTCATCCTTGTAGGTTTCTGGACATTTCCCTAGTGCCAGGTTTCTCTTCAAATTACTGTTCAACCTTAAAATGAAACTTCGGTTCTCTTTACCATACATGAAGACCAGCTCCTGGGAGCTCAGCCAAATTCAGGTACCATCTCTTTGAGGCCCTGGACAAGAACTGGATATATGAAAATTCACTAGTGCCTAGGATTCTGATGCTCTCAGAATCCAGAGACAAAATATTTCTCCAGTGTGACATGGAACAGCTCCTCATGGCAATTCTGTTAACCACATTTTAAGAACCTCCATTCTGCTCCTATTAAGATCTGTACTAATTTACATTCCTTCAAACAATGCATGAGGCTTCCATGTCATCTAAGTCCTGGATACCCATTCTTTTCATCAGTCCTTTGGGTGATAACCTTATAAAATTTGACCTGACCTCTGTCTTAGTTAGGGTTTCTATTGCTGTGAGGAGACACCATGATGATGGTAATACTTATACAGGAAAATAATTCAATTGCAGGTGCTTAGCTAAACAGTGGAATTTAGGCATGTCTCCTGATCTCACACAGAGAGGGCGTTTGAAGAGAGACGAGGCAGCTACACTCATAGGGACGAGACTCAGGGAGTTTTATGTCCTTTAGTGGCGAGGTCCACACAGTACAGCGGACACTTTACAAGATAAGCATTAGAAAGCAAAGTTATTGCTATTTACAAACCATGACATGGAAAGGTAAGTTGGAATGAACATCACAACATGTCTTCCGTTTGCAAGTATTAATAAGGATGTAGATGACAACTGGAAAAATCAATGTATTTTACTCCAATTTCCACCCCCCAATATTAACATCCTAAACTCCACCGTATTAACAAATAACTTGCCATCTCCAGCCTACCCTACAGAGGTTGCTATATAGCAGGAAGACATGCAAATGGGTCCCCTGTCTTCTCATGAAAAGCAGCCCAGCCTTGACCTTGCAGCTCAGGTAGAGCAGGTCAGCTGTGGATCCCAAGACTTCACACAGTGTTCAGCATGAAGTTGGAGCTGAGCTGGGTTTTTCTTATTGCTCTTTTAAAAGGTAATTATGGGGAACAGTAGATGCTGACTGTGTGAGTGGAAATGAATATGAGGGACAATGGACATGTGTGACAATTTCTTGGACGGGAATTTCTGTGTTTGCAGGTGTCCAGTGTGAAGTGAAGCTTGTGCAGTCTGGGGGTGGCCTGATGAAGCCTGGCGGGTCCCTGAGACTCTCCTGTGTAGCCTCTGGATTCACCTTCAGTGACTACTGGATGAGCTGGTTCAGACAAACTCCTGACATGGCTCTGAAGTGGATTGGAGAAATTAAGTATGATGGCAGTACCACAAACTATGCACCATCCTTTAAGGATCGAGTCACCATCTCCAGAGACAATGGCAAGAACACCCTGTACCTGCAAATGAACAGTCTCAAGTCTGAGGACACAGCCACATATTACTGTGCTAGACACACAGTGAGGGAATCTCAGTGGGACCCACACATATACCTGTCTGTGAGGTTGCACAGGGCCAGCAGGGGGCACCCAGCACACATGGATCACATCCATCCCAGGACATCATGAAGGCATAACAAGCACTTCTCTCAGCAGTCAGGCTGCCTTCCATCTTACAGTTCCCAGACAGTCTCTCAAAATATTTGTTCAGTGGGTGAATGATGTCCTAAATACATCTTACATGTTTCTGTATTTATTTAAGAAAAGAGGCTGGAGTGGAGAGATAGCTCAGCCACTAAAGGCTAGGCTCACAACCAAATATATATATATATATTTCCAGAAAACAAAATTTAAATTGACAACAATGAGGGTAAAAACATCTCCAGCTACGTTACTGAAATCACAGAAGGAAGATGTTGGGATTCCTGTGTCTTTTATTTCTCATAATCAAGCAGATTTTTTTTTTATTAGAGTAGCTCTTATATTTAAGGGGATATCAAGAGGAATGTGGGGTGCAGATACGGGTACATAAACTCTACCAAGACTCAAACCTGCCTTCCCATCCCTGAGAAGTACAAACACCAGGTTCAGATCTGACATCCTTTATTTTGTCTAATGCAGTTTTCTTTAATGATCATCCTCTGTGTTCCTCATGGAATTTGTACAGACTGATTCCTTTGTAAGGTCAGTGTCTGTGTGGAGGTGACATTTTACATATGATTTATTGTCTTCCACAGGACCGGAAGATGAAATTATACCACCAGGAAATTATTGAACATGAGCATCTGATCACATGCTAACCTTCATGAGAAATGATGTCTTCTCAACTAGAAAAATCTCACATGCAATCTGTCATTTTATCTAAATCTAATAGGGATCAGGATGGGTCTATGGCTTTCTTCTTAGCCCTGACACACTCTGCTCATTTCTGTAAGAGCCATGGAATTCCAGCTTTGTCTTGGAAGACTAACAGTCCCTGTGCAACATGGGTGAAAATGTCTGTCTTAGTTACTTTTCTATTGCTTTGATAAAACACCATGACAAAGGCATCTTACAAATAAAGGAGTTAACTGGTGTTACAGTTTTTAAGCACTGGTATCCATGATTTACAAACCAAAGCCTTAGTGACTGGACTAACAGTAACAACTTGATCCATAAGCAGGCAGCAGGCAGACACACTGAAAATGCCATGAAACTGTAGAGCCTCTAAGTCTTCTCCCACTGACTCACTTTCTCCAATCCAGACACACATACTAATACCTTCCACAGAGTTCCTCCATCTGATGACCAGGTGTTTCACACGTGTGTACCAATGGGGGTATGTTCTGGTTCACATTACCTTAACGCCAAACTCTTAAAGGGATGCAGTATTGGAACTTAACAATGTAGAGACAACATGGAGATTGGAAAAGAAGGTGGTGTTTCTGTTCATGGAGGAAGAAAAGAAATGGAAGACTCCATTAACTGAGTTCATGAATGGTGAGGAGACCAAGTTCTTTCCATAAAAAGTGGTTTTATATCAGTTGTGACGTGACACCATGCATAATGAAGAAGTTCCACATGAATCTTTTTATGAAAACTGGTGATATTTCATAGTGAGGCTGTATCTCAGGGATAGGGAAGAAGCTAAATTGGCAGAAAAGTTGAGCCCACTGCTCCAAATCTCTGTTTCAGTATGCTTACTGTGCTGGATAATAGCAATATGAAATCCTCCACACATCTCCCTTCAGAGAGGGAGAAATTTTGCATGCTCTTTCCTAAATAGGGTGACTTTTTCACAACCATCCCCTTAGTACACAGGGATCTATGAAGAAGAATGGTTGTAGTGATTGTAAAAAGCATAAGTTATGCCACCTGGTCTACACATCGAGTCCCAGGACAGGCACCAGAGCAATACAGAGATCCTCAGTCTCAAAAAACAAACAAACAAACAAAAGCATGAGATATGAACAGCCTAGAGGAAGCAGTGTTTGTGGATTGGGGAACACATATAATCTCACAGAGACTGTGACTGTATGAACAAGGTACAGAGAAGCTAAATCCAGTCCTAATTCAAACATGGAAGAGAAACCATGGGCACTAAGACCCACTCTCAGCAATGAAGCCATTCACCATTGACAACTGCTGGGAGGAAGCCAGTTTTCCACACTAAAGTGACAACCACACTTAGGGAAGGAGTAGTTTAAGAACAAAACATGGACTTCATTGGATGTTTTTTTATTTGTGGTTTTTCTGTTACTGTTTTTCTTTCTAAGTGAGAGAAAGAAGAAGAAAGTGTGTGGGTAGAGAGGTGGTGAAAAGTCTGTGAATGCTAGAGGCAAAAAGTTCTTTAATTAAATAAAAAAAAGGAAAAGCATCATCCTATTTGTCCATGACATGTCATGAGAAATTCAGTAATTATATTCCTGATCCATCTCAAGTGCAATCATAAGAAGATACTGTAGGCATTTTCAGTGAATTTCCACGTTGTCACCTGTGTTGAAATTTGGTATTCTAAATCACAACTCTGTCTTTATCATACTCTGTGGTTTACTGAAAGTTACTGGGTTTATATCAGATTCTGTGTCCTGCAAAACCCTAGCTTTGTCATTTGTATACATGATCAGCTTACTGCCCTGATGTCCTACTGAATTAGCTGAGAGCTATAAACCTAGGAAGACATTGACATTTTTGACTATATTCTAATCAATATCTTTCTAAGATAACTCTGCCTGTCTGCTACCTATACACACTGAAGGGCAGATGATTCCAGATCTTAGAATGGTTGAACTATTTTCTGCATTCCTTGGGCTTGCCAATTATTATATCCTAAAGAGTATTCTAACTTCTTTAATAATGGTTATCTTTAAGTAAAGTCAGTATGGACATCAAAACCATTTTTGCTGTGCATTTTAATTGTATAAAATATCTTAGTCGTGCTTCATTTTTCCTGGTTGCACATTAATAAATTACATCTGAAAAAGACAAACTTGATGTTTCATATATCATATCCAATTATTTTGACAAACTGTTCCAATGATGTGTGTGTTTCAGAGAGTGGAGCCAGAGAACTGATCAGAGTCCTTTGGAGAAGTTCAGATATCATGATTGTATTCCAGACACAGGGTAGTTGAACCTAAACAGTAAGAAGTGCTCCTTCATGGCCTCTTCTTCTGCTCCTGCCTCTAGGTTTCTAGCCTGCTTGTGTTCCTGTTCTGACTTCTTTGGTGATGAATTGTGATGTGGAAGTATATGAAAATAACTTGCTTTTTAGTCATGGTGCTTCAGCAGAGCAATATTAATCCTAAAATATGGCCCCTTTCCTTGAACTTCTTAGAGTTATTAAACTTGTTTCATTGAACTTATTAGCCAGACATCAAAATAATTCAACAGCCCATTATATTTCTAACAATGTTGTCTTGAGATTTCTAATTGTTGATGGAAACACTGATGATCCCTACTCTTGCAAAGAAACTTATGTCTCTTTGTGTGATACAGTCTCCAAATCCATGTTCTCATTCTATACTCTCCCATGAGAACTGAATTACTGGAGAGCAGAATTGAAACTTGGAGTCACATTGAAGAGCATTAGACTTGACTTCAGGTAAAAATATTAAGATGATGAGAAATAAGAGAAGGGCTCTATGGTGGACAAATCCAGATATCAGTTGTAAAGTCAAAGAGGAATGTTCTTGTGTGCAGAAGTCTGAGGAGTAAGAGTATCCTCAGGGTCTTCATGGTAAGCCTTTGTATTTGGTCTGCCATGCAACTGCTACTGTAGTATTGTCACATGCCTTGCTAGGGTGGGCTGTGAGCCAGGGCAGTGTGCGAAAAATGAATGAGGTCCTTGAGGAAGATGGCATGGGATGCTCAAGGTCCATCTGCTTCTTTTACATACCACAAAAAGGATGGACCAAGAGGCAGGTATGAACCCTGTGCAACAACAGTATGGCCATAGTCCGACATTCCGGGAAAGAAGAAAACCCATCTCATGGATGGGGCAAACAAAGAAAATCTGCAGCAATATGGACTTACAAATCAGTAAGACGTAATTCAGGAACAGAAGTGTGAAAACAAGTTTGGCACTGACCTGAGACCATATAAATACAGGAGCAGAGGATTGTATGGGAAAGGGGAGGTTGAGCTGGGAAGTTGAGCTGGGGTTATGGAGAGATGTGTTTTCTGTGATGGCAGAAGGATTCATGCTCTCTTGTTACAGACTTAGACCACAGGAAACCAAAGACTATGATGGCAACAGTGTAATAATCTCAGGGTGTCAGAATTCTTGCTCCACATTTATAAGGACAGGGCTGAATCCCCACGTGCAAATGTATGTGAGCTCACATCTCTCTCACAGGAGACTGACCTCTGAGAAAAGGAGGTGTAGCCTAGAAGATGAAACTGTTGCGTCTTCTGTACCTGGTGACAGCCCTTCCTGGTGAGTGTCACCATTTCATTCATGCGTCCATGATGGGATGTGACAACATGTGATTGACAGAATTGATTGTTCTTGTTGGAAGAAATTCTGTCCAAAGTGCAGCTTCAGGAGTCAGGACCTGGCCTGGTGAAGCCCTCACAGTCAAGCTTCCTCACCTGCTCAGTTACTGGTTACTCCATCACCAGTGGTTACTACTGGATGTGGATCAGGGAGTCCTGAGGGAAGAAACTGGAGTGGATGGGAGTGGATGGGTTACATAACCTACAGTGGAGAAACTGTCTATAACCTCTCCCTGAGAAGCCCCATCTCCATCACCAGAGAAACATCCAAGAACCAGTTCTTCCTGCAGCTGAACTCTGTGACCACTGAGGACACAGCCACATATTTCTGGGCAAGCGACTCATATTTATAAGATTTAGTACTAGCCCAGACACAAACCCCCCTGCAGAGGAGCTCTGCTCCAGCATGGGGAGCTGAGCTCTAACCAAGCCCAGGAAGCATTCTCGGATCAGGGAAATAAAAACACCTGGTTTCCTCTGCCCTTGTTTCCCACTCCTTAAGCACAGAGAAGACAGGGGATCTATTTTCTTTGATGCTGAAATGCTGTTCTTTTTAAAGTCATATTGATTTGTTTCTAAATGTGCCTCTCAAGATGGTTATATTTCCTGTCCTTTTTTTTGTAACTAGCCTATACCATCTGAACAATAAAATCAGTTCTTTACATACATACATACATACATACAGCCATAGTTGTCACACTAAAAGGGATCCCATTTTTATTGTCCATTCCTTCATAAACATCTGTATTTCGGAGTACGTCGTAGCCTCTTCAAGCAATGCAATGGTTGCAGTGCTGAAGGAATGAGATAAAAAATTATATTGGATTGGCATCTCAATGCAGCTATATTACTTACTAAGTAGGGCATCTGCTTGAGCTAAGGCTTACGGTGTTTCTTGGAGTCACCTGTGTATGATTGATGGTCCTAAAAACTATGCTGTCAGTGGTTACTGCCTCCTCATTAGTGAATATTTTGTGCATGAAAATACATATTTTTTAATTAGGATTGAAAATATCATATTAAATAAATAGACATATTCACAATGTTAATATTCTATATTAATAGGAGATGAATTCACCTCTTACACAGATGAACACGTACAATATTATATGCAGATATACCTGTGTCTGTGTTTTGTGATCTCCTCCTACAAAATGTTCTAGGGATGGAAATCCAACCCAGTTGTAGATCTTCAAACCTAGGAGTCGCCCACATACTCAAAGCTAACTTAGCAGAATAAGTTGTCTCATTGCATTGTTCCCCAATTCAGTTAACCACAGTGACATTTGGTTCTGTGATATATATATACAAAATTCTATCGGACCATTAGGAAAAGTTGAGACAAACCAAAGGGGAGACAAGAAGTCTGGACATTATCCCTGAAATTCTCAGAGTATCACAAATAAGGGGCACAGTATCTATTTGTTTAAGCCCCTTACAACTTGCAGTTGACAGCTCCTTCTCCATGGCTATTAAAATTCTCTACCTCAGTTTCCCATAGTCCAAAGATCATGAATAAGTAAACAAGGACTCAAACAAGAGATTTCCTGGAATGAAGAAATCGATGGACATCCAATCAGGTAATCCAAGACCCACAGGATTCAAATAGTCTGGTATTATGGTATTGATTTTTTTGGAGATGCAGTTTCTAATTTGAACCAGTATTAATAGGGATATCTTCAAGAGCCAATAGTTAAAATCTGGACAACTTTCCATGTGTTACTTTGCAAAAACACAGGAAGGCGACCCCAGTGTGAACTCAGCCACAAATCTCTCTGTGCTCAAGACCAAAAGAGACAATGAAGAAATCCTGAGGCTGCTCAACACTAGTAGTTGTCCCTAAGAGTACAGGAAGTTGGGGACTGTCATGTGTTTCCTCACAAACAGGCTTAAGGATGTTTACATGTTAGAATAAGTGGCTTCCCCCTTCTGTTCAAACATTCCTCTAATGGTCCTTTGCTGTGTCATATTCTATGACAAATACTATTTGTTCATTTCTAATAAGTGTATCAGTTTTTTTTTAACCAAAGAGCATCTTAAGCATCCATTTGGCACCTTCTATCTGATGAAATAAACATAAGAATAAACCTATCCATATTTTTCTATTAATCTGTAATTCTCAGAGTTACTGATGGTTATTAGCTCAGTAGGAAATCTCAGGGAATTATAAGTCATCTGACAACCATCATGTTTATTTTCTCAGAGGTTGAGAAGAAGCCAGAGCTTCAGGGAATTAATGTTATTTTCTGCAGTTGGTGGAAAAACAAGTTGTCTATATTTCAAGCTTCCAATATGTGAATGTCTGTAATAGGGAACACGTGGTTAACCTTTTTCACACAATGATTGTTTGAGATTTGCAGGCATGTAAAGGTTACTTTCTGACTCAGTGCCCCATGTAGCGATTCCTTTGAAGGTATTTTGGGGACCTTGAGATTGTAGAGATGTTTGTGTGAGCATTGTGCACATGCTCCTTATCTAAGAGGTACCATGCTCATGAATATGCAAATCACACGAGTCTATGGTGGTAAATATAGGGATGTCCACACCAGCAACAACATATGATCAGTGTCCTCTCCACAGTCACTGAGCACACAGGTCCTCACCATGGGATGGAGCTGGATCATCCTCTTCCTGGTGACAGCAGCTACAGGTAAGGGCTCCATCTTCCAGACTTGAGGAGGGGCCATGCACTCATGTGGCAGTGACATCCACTCTTCCTTTCTCTCCACAGGTGTCCACTCTCAGGTCAAGCTGGAGCAGTCTGGGGCTGAGCTGGTGAAGCCTGGGTCCTCAGTGAAGCTGTCCTGCAAGGCTTCAGGATACACCTTCACTAGCTACTACATGTACTGGGTGAAGCAGAAGCCTGGACAAGGCCTGGAGTGGATTGGAAGGATTGATCCTGAAAATGGTAATACTAAGTACAATCAGAAGTTCCAGGGCAAGGCCACACTGACTGCAGACACATCCTCCAGCACAGCCTACATGGAGCTCAGAAGCCTGACATCTGAGGACTCTGCAGTCTATTACTGTGCAAGATACACAGTGTTGCAACCACATCCTGAGTGTGTCAGAAACCCTGGAGGAGCAGGAGGCTGCCCTGGTACTGAGATCAGCCTGGGGACTTACTCATAAATAATAATTCTGAGTGTTACTTTGTCACTTCACAGTCATTTAGTGTGTTTGTCAACTTTTCAAAGGACATCAGAGAATGAACAATGCTGGAGGAAGGTGATTGCCATCAACCCGAGCAAGTCTGCAGCCTCCCCTCCCTCCCCCCCTCTCCCTTCCCCTCCCCTCTTCTCCTCTCCTCTCCCCGAGAACTGTGAACTTCAATTTGGATGTGACTCAGCTGCATTTTTGCTAATTCAGCTTATTACTCTATGACTTCCATTTCTGTTCATCATAGGAATTTGTTTGAAATGATCCCTTTAGTTGTTGAATGTTGTGAATGAGTGTGGGTAACTATGGATCCAACACTGGGGGGGGGCAGCCAGATTGGTCATTGAAGCTTGTTGACAGATTATTTGTGCAAAATTGATGAACTTCTTGTTTAGTTAGAAACCCTACATTCAAGATGGGTTATAAGCTGGTAGATAAAAGACATCCAAGTATAACCTCTAGTCTCTATATGCTCTATATGTTTATATACACACAAGTGCACTGATTTGTGTACACAACTGTACACAACCATAATACTTTAAAAGTTCACACACACACACATATATACATATATATGTGTGTGTGTATACATATTATATATATGTATATATATTTATATATATACACACACAAACACACACACACAGAGAGAGACAGAGAGAGAGAGAGAGAGAGAGAGAGAGAGAGAGAGAGAATGAAAGGGAAAACTACTAAGTGGTCTTGAAGAAATATGTCTCAAGATACACACACACACAAAAAAAAAGAGTTAGCATTTAGTCCATCAACTTGTCTCATTGTAACATTTCAAGAAATACCAACACTTTGAATTTCTAAAGAGAATTTTATTCATAGTCTTTCCTTACAATCTATGATACTCCACTCCAGAAAACATCAATGGTTGTATGACTGAACATATGTGCTATATCCATACAATGGCATGTTGCCTCACAACGTGTATCATGCATTCTGTGATATCTATGACACAGTGTAGAGGGATTTGGAGGAGATTATAAGTGAAGAGGAACAGGTACTATTATGTCATTCATCACATTTCAATCTCCCTGAGACTCAAGGCCAGATAAACACTTGAGATGCCTATCAAAGGAGTAGGAGACCTGGGAGCATGGGGTGTGAATAAGGAATGCATGGCCTTCACTGAAATAATGTTAGAAGGAAGCGAGCTGGGTTATCCCCAGCATTGTGATCACTGTAATTGTCAGGTTTCTGGTCATATAAGTGGTTATTCACATGAATTTCATACAATACTTGACCATGATGAACATATAGAATTAAATGGCAAATAATGATGATTTGAAATTACTTAACCTATGAATAGTATTGTGTGTATCTGTAAACACCCATTATGAACACATACTTGTGGTTCTGAGTAAGTCTCAGAGGTGATGCCTTAATTAGATAGTTATAAGCACAGAGGACAACAGATACAAAAATGTCCTTTGTCTTGTCCTGTGTGAGATGTGGAGAGAACCATCTAAGACTAAGACTCTCGACTATGTCACTTATTGGGACACATCTGTGTCCACTTGGAACAGAAATCAAGTAACATCACACATGAAACTTAATCATCTATCACAGATGAGCTGAATATCTGGCAAGGGCTACATCTGAATGCTTTTGGTAGACCAACTGTTTCACTTGATAGAAGAAGTCACCTTTGCTCATGTGATACACATGAGAACAGGCAGAAGTAAAAACAAAAGAAAACAAAACATGATTTTAAAGTAAAATCAGAAATTATGGGAAAATTATGTAATTCTGAAGTCTCATCTGCTCCATATCCCAATCATGGAGTCCCTCTGAGACACTTCTATGTGTGGGGAGTCATCCTGATTCTCTGACCATCAGGGTGGGACCAGCAAGCTGGAGGGAGTCATTGTCACATCAGGAAGTGTCTCCCTGGAGTCAAGGGTATCCTTCTAGATCTCTGGTCTATAAGGCCAGAGATCACTTTCTGTGAACCCTGGCTTCCTCTCTCAGCTAATTATGCAGAAGAATCTGCAGGACTTTGAAGCAGGCAGTTGCCAATTTACTTTGACAAAGAGCATTTGTGTTTCCAGAGCATGGAGTGTGCAGTACAAATGTCTGGTTTATGTACATAACACTCTGCTATATACATTTCCATTATTTCCTGTCACACACCCTTTGTTTATATTTTATACCAAATTATAATTGCCTGTCCTTAGCCCAAACTATCAACACAGACCACCATCCACATTCAAAAATCCCTGCTTCCTTCACTGTGAGATGCCAGACATCCCTAGTAACTCTCCTCCCTCAGGTGCATGTTCATAGCTCTGCTTCTGATGGCTCCAGGCAGCGTATGTTTCTATAGTCAATATACTGTAGTGTGTTGTATCTCATCACAAGCATCAAATGAAGAAAGTAGATAGAATCACATTCTGATAATGTCAAGCAGTCTTGTTAAGACTTGATGAGAAAAGACCAGAACTGAGATGAAAATGAGCACAGGCTTGTCATGAGACTTCAAATTATCAGGAACATGTCATCTGTACTTCAATTTCTTCATATTTATTGTCTATAAAAACACTACAAGTGGCTATTGTAAAGGGTGATGTTTCTCTGATTTCTTTCTCTGTCTCTTTGTCATCTGAAAAAAGCAGGGCTACTGTTTTTTTTTTTTTTTTTTGAGTTTATCTTGTATCCTGCTAGTTTGCTGAAAGTGTTTATCAGATGTAGGAGTTCCCTGGTAGAGTTTATTGGGTTGCTTATGTAAACTATCATATCATCTGCACATAGAGACAGTTTGACTTCTTCCTTTCCAATTTGGATCCCCTTGATCTCCCTTTGTTGTCTTATAGCATTAGCTAGAACTTCTAGTACGATATTGAAGAGATATGGAGAGAGAGGGCAGCCTTGTCTTGTTTTAGAGTAATTGGCTTAAGTTTCTCTCCATTCAGTTTGATGTTGGCAGTTGGTTTGCTGTATATTGCTCTTATATTATGTTTATGTATGTTCCTGTTATCCCTGACCTCTCCAAGACCTTTATCATGAAAGTATGTTGAATTTTTTCGAAGGCTTTTTCAGCATCTAGGGAGATAACCATGCAACATAAAGTATCTTGGTGTAACGCTTACCAAACAAGTAAAAGACCTATATAACAAGAACTTTGTGGCTCTAAAGAAGGAAATTAAAGAAGATATCAGAAAATGGAAAGATCTCCCATGCTATTGGATAGGTAGGATAAACATAGTAAAAATGGCAATCTTGCCAAAAGCAATCTACAGATTCAATGCAATCCCCATTAAAATCCCACCACAATTCTTCACTGACCTTGAAAGGATAATAATCAACTTTATATGGAAAAACAAAAGACCCAGGATAGCCAAAACAACCTTATACAATAAAAGAACTTCAGGAGGCATCACCATTCCTGACTTTAAGCTCTACTACAGAGCTATAGTTCTGAAAACAGACTGGTATTGGCATAAAAATAGACAGGTAGACCAATGGAATCGAATTGAAAATCCTGTTATTAACCCACACACCTATGCATACCTGATTTATGACAAAACAGCTAAAATTATACAATGGGGCAAGGACAGCATCTTCAACAAATGGTGCTGGCACAATTGGATGAGGGTGTGTAGAAGACTGCAGATAGACCCTTGTCTGTCGCCATGCACAAAACTCAAGTCCAAATGGATCAAAGACCTCAACATCAATCCAGCAACATTGAACCTCTTAGAAGAGAAAGTGGGAGACCCTTGAACAAATTGGTATAGGAGACCACTTCCTGAACATAACTCCAGGGGCACAGACACTGAGAGAAACAATTAATAAATGGGACCTCTTCAAACTTATAAGCTTCTGAAAGGCAAAGGACACAGTGGACGAGAACAAATGGCAGCCCACAGACTGCCACCAATCCTATATCCGACAAAGATCTCCAAAATATACAAAGAATTCAAGAAACTAGTCAACAAAACACCAAATAACCCTATCAAAAAATGGGGTACAAAACTGAAGAAAGAATTCTCAACAGAGGAAATCAAAAAGGCTGAAAGACACTTAAGAAAATGGTCCACATCCTTAGCTATCAGGGAAATGCAAATCAAAACAACTTTGAGATATCATCTTACTCCTGCCAGAATGGCTAAAATTAGAAACACCAGTGATGACTCATGTTGGAGCCGATGTGGAAAAATGGGAACACCCCTCCACTGCTGGTATGAGTGCAAACTCGTACAGCCATTTTGGAGATCAGTATGGTGGTTCCTTAAGGAAAATGGGAATTAGTTTACCACAGAACCCAGCAATCCCCCTCTTAGGCAAAGGATCCCAAAGGATCCACATCCATGCAACAAAGACATCTGCTCAACTATGTTCATACCAGCACTATTTGTAATAGTAAGAACCTGGAAGCAAACTAGATGTCCATCAATTGAAGAATGGTTAATGAAGATGTGGCACATCTACACAATGGAATAGTACTCTGCAGAAAAAAAATAATGGTATCTTGAAATTTTCAGGCAAGTGGATGGCACTTGAAGGAACCATCCTGAATGAGGTAACCCAGTCACAAAAAAGAGGAACACAGTATGTACTCACTCATATTGAATTTTAGACCTAGATCAAAGGATCTCCAGCCTATAATTCACCACCAGAGGAAGTAGGATACAAGGTGTATTCTAAGAGATTCATATAAAGTCCCTCACAGAACCGGGAAGGGACAAGTCCTCCAGAGCACAGGGGAAGTGGGGGGGCAGCAAATGGAGAGAGAAGTAGGAGAAAATGTGGGGGAGGAAAGGAAAACATGTGCAACCAGGAAGATTGAGCCTGATTAGGAATAGAAGACAGGAGAGAGAGAGAGAGAAAGAGAGAGAGAGAGAGAACATAAAAGAGGGAGCCAGTAATGGTTTGAAGATAAAATGAACACAAAGAAAGGTCTTGAGAACTACAAGACTGCTGCCAACTAACAATTTGAGCTTCCGTGGAAAGGCTACCATAAATGCCCTTCCCGGAGAGTGAGATCAACAACTAACTTATCCATGGAGCCCTCAACTAATGCCTGTTGGAAACAGGAGCAAACACCCATACATAAACACTGAGTCGAAGTAGAACCCAGATGCAGATGGAGAGGACAAGACCAGGCAGCAGAAATACATAGAGACAGCTTATCTGAACAAGGAGGAGCTAACAGGCCACCAGACTGATAGCTGGGAAGCCAGGGGGACTGACTCAGGCCCCCTGAATATGGGTCTCAGCCAGAAGGACTGAACAGTCTAAGAGACCTCAGACAGTGGAGCCAGGATATATCCCTGGTGCACAAAAGGACCTTGGGAACACATGCCCCATGGAGGGATAACTGCCTTAACCTAGAGACAGGAGAGAAGCGCTATTTCCTACTTCATATGACCTGTCAGACCTGCATGACCCCAACTGGATGGCATTCCCCTACATATGGAATTGTAGGAGGGATGGGAGGGGAGGGTGGTTAGAGTGCATGTGAGAGGGCAGAGAGGGTAAAAGGGAGGGAAGGAAGGAAGGAGGGAGAGAGGAATGGAGGGAAGGATGGATGGAGGGATGGAGGGAGAGAGGGAGAGAGAACTGGGATCAACATGTAAAATAATAAATTAAAAAAAAATGCTTTGACTCCAAAATTTAAGGTTAAGGACAAGTTACTGGGGGAAAAGGATTTCTATTTTTGTTTCCACAGAAAATGAAAAGATTTGGATTCCTTCCAGACTAATGTGGTTTGATTAGGCCAGACTGCCTCAAACAGAGTACCAGGTGATCCTACATTCAAAACAGCTGGACAAAGTAGCCTTACAAACTACAGCCAGGATTTCCGCATCTTCTTAGAATCCCCAATGACAGGGCCCCTTACCAGCAGGAAGTAATTTAGAAAGAATGACGCCCAAATTCCCAACTATTGTCTATAAATGTTTGTTTGCATTTAAATGGACTTGGTTATATAAAATAAATAAATAATAAAACACTACAAGTAATTAATCCAGATTTTATAATTCAGTGTGCTGTTATTCACATAAGGTGATTTATTATTAAACCATTCTGTTTTCCATTCTTTATAATTCTAGTTATGTGTCCATGTCCTTAGGTGGGTATTTAAACAAGATTGTAGGTGCACATGGATGCCAAAGGTGTAGGATCCCCATGGAGCGAGAATTCCATGGGGTTGTGTGCTACCTGATGTGACTGCTAGAAATAAAACTCAGTTCTTTAGGAATCAGGTGATTTCTTTAACTACTAATCCGTCTCATTAGGTATTTAACTCTTCTTTGTCCTAAGTATTCTTTACTACTTTTAGTATAATAATTTTCATATTAATATAAGTACATAATTCCCTTCAAACCTCCCTATGGAACCCATTGCAGTTTTTCAAGTGTATAACATTTATTACATGGCTTATGAAAAATGAAAGGGCAACATTAATAGTTTTTTTTCTTGGGTTTTCAAGATAGGGTTTCTCTGTATTGCTTTGTAGCGTATCCTGGACCATGCTCCGTAGTCCATGCAGCCCTCGAACTCACAAATATCTACATGCATCTTGAGTGCTGGGATTAAAGACATGTGCCACCAATGCCTGGCTCAGATTCAATTGTTTCAAGTACAAATGTGCCTTATTTCTAATCACTTCATCAATAATATTTAGATGCCGATATGGGAGTAGAAAGGATGAAAGGAGTTCTAGAACAGCACACATTTAGATGCAGCAGCCAAGGAAGGAGTAATTCAGAGGTCTAGGTGTGCACAGGGCAGTGTCCATCAGAAAGGATAAAGTTACTGACTCTTAATATGAGACACGTATGATGAACAGTGGGCAAATAATGCTGTTGCCCTGTTATATGGGACCAAGTAGCGAGACTGTGAGTTGCACAGGGGAAGATGTCAGTGTGCAGACACAGTATAAGGAGAGGCCTTGGGGGACAACACATCCAGCGTGAAAACATACACACCAGACACTGAAAGACATAGTGTTACCCATCTGATGACTTTAACCCTTGTATTTACCTTACATTTTGCTCACTCCTGGTCATATGCAGATGAGCTCTGTGCAATGCAGTTAGAGTAGAAATCTGAGGCTCAACTCCTTCAACCAGCAAGGGAGTGACTGATGAGTCTCAGGAAAGTATAGTGTCCAAACTCGTCCATCATGGAGTGTCCATGGAGGCTCCTTTTCCTCCTGGCAAGTGTCCAAAAGAAGACATGAGAGCCAAGATCTGCAGAGTAAACTGAGGCAGTTCCATGACCTCTCACTTTTTCATATTCTCTCCACAGGTGTCCAAGCACAAATCCAGCTGGAGCAGTCAGGAGCTGAGTTGAAGCAACCTGAACAGTCAGTGAAGATCTCCTGCATGACGTCACAGATCATGCAATGCAGTGGGTGAAGCAGGCACCAGAATAGGGTCTAAAGTGGAGAGGCTGGATCAATACCAACACTGGGAAACCAACTAGGAGACAAGGAGGATTCCAGGAAGTAGTACGTAGGAATCAGCATGTAGAGACCAGAAAGAGCCCAACTCCAGCCTCTCTCCAGTAAGATGAGACCACGTGGAAATACTTAAATTAATAGAAATGGGTTAATACTTAAGAGAGAGCTAGCTGATGAGAAACTAGTAACTGGCTAACAGCATTTATATCTAATACAGAGTCACTGTGCGTTAATTGGGGCTGGCGCAGCGGCAGGGCAAGACCAGCAGCGGGCGAAAAAACCTACTCCTTACGACGGATGGTTTGTGTTCTCTGTGGACACCTCTTGTCAGCACAGCCTATCTGCAGATCAGCAGTGTCAAGAAAGAAGACACAGCCATGTATTACTGTGCTAGAGACACAGTGTGAAAGCCACATTCTGAGGGTGTCAGAAATCCCAAGAGAAGGTGATTCTTCTGTGCCCAGGCAGCAACAGAAAAAATATCCTGTCCTCTTCCTTTGACTATGATTATGAGATTAGTATTTAGACACACAGGAAAGTGATATCTATACTTAGATTGACTATTCACAGTGATGCATTGACAACAAAGCCAGATGAATAGGAGAGGGGATATTATGTAGCATCATAGACTTGGTACAAAACTTGTAGTTATTATTACATATCCCAATGTAAATTCAGTATACATGCCAAGACAATTCTGAAATCATGTATTGAAACAGTAACATCAGCCTCTGTCACGCTGTCAGAGAGATGAACAGTCCAGTGATCTACATGACTACCTGTGAGAATATGAAAATGAAGAACATCTAACATGCCTCATCCATGTTGGGATGCTCAGGTCTTGCTGGTGTAGAAAATCTAGACTCTGCTGGTGTCACATTAGTCCTTGTGTTATTGAATGTGCTCTTATACTGTCCACTAAGCTATATACAAGCTCAGTGGAAAACAGCTGTTGCAAAACCTATCAGACCGTAGGTATAAGAACATGATTGGATCACTCTGTGTACTCACATGTAACGTGTAGGAAACATTAATCCCTGAAAACATGCTGTATGTCAGGATGAAGATGTGTTTGATTTGGTGTAACATGATCACCATTCAAATGTATTTCAGTCCCATAAAATGTTTTCTGGATTAGAAATTTCTAGTGTTTCATAAAACGTGATTTTGTATATCTGTGTGTAATTTTCTTTGACTGACTATTCAAGGCTTGTTAAAGTGGAATTGTCGAAGTCAAGTTAACATGCACACTATATTCTCTACATTGTAGATTTTTTGCTTGCATGATATCTCTTCCTATGATTACAGAAACATGCTTTTTATGTCTGATATCCTTTGAGAAAGCTGATGTTTCTCAAGACCATTGGCTCTAGAGGATTCTTCTTTTGTAGAACCTTATGAATTTAGAACATTTATCTTGTAACAAAGAATATAGCTGTCTGGAAGGCATTGGTGCAGGTCAAAGTAATATAAGAACTGATTGATCATAAGCTACAACCTCTTATATCAGCTTTATCAAATCTTTATACACCATTGGGGTATTTTAAATTCACTTGAAAGTATCTCAGTACAGTGGAAGAAAATAAAAACCCTAATGATTATTGGCCCTCACATTTTTCTCTTTCTGTGTCTCCTATTGTCCCTGTCTGTCTGCTACATGAGTCTTAATATCTGTCTGTATCTGTTATTTTTTCTATGTGTCATAGTTGATGTTTCTCTCCTTACCCACGTGTGTGTGTGTGTGTGTGTGCGTGCGTGCGTGCGTGTGTTTGTTCAGGTGCTCCCTTCAAAGACCTTTTCTTTGCATTCATTCAACAACTAACACAAAAACCCCTCGGCAAGGAAATGAAGAATATTTATAGAAATAATGAATAAACTTTTAAAAGTGTGATCCCAAGAGCCTGATTCCAACTGAATCAAATAATGTACAGGACTAAAGATGCTCCTTTTTAATGTTTATAAATATACAAATGAAGTGTCAAGCACCTCTAAACTTGGCACCTGGGAGGCTGAGGCAAGAGGATCACAAGTTTTTAAATTCATTGGGGACAACATTTTAAGATCTTTTGTCAAAAGAACAATAGATGCTCCTCAAGATTGGATAAAGAAAAAAGCCAGGATGTATCCCTGGTGCACAAAAGGACCTTGCTAACATATCCCCCAGGGAGGGATAACTGCCTCAACCTACAGACAGGAGAGAAGTCCTAGTACCTACTTCAAATTACTTGTCAGATCTACATGACCCCACCTGGATGGCATTCCCCTACATATCGAATTGGGGTAGGGGGATGGGAGGGGAGGGTGGTTAGAGTGCATGTGAGAGGGCAGAGAGGGTAAAAGTGAGTGAGTGGGGGAGGGATGAAGGGAAGGAGAGGGAACTGCGATTGACATGTAAACTAATAAATTAAAAAAAGATAGTACATTTACACACTAGAGTACTACTCATCAGTAGAATCAATGGCATCTAGAAATTTGTAGGCAAATGGATGGAACTAGAAAAAAACCATACTGAGTTTGGTAAATCAGACCCAGAAACACAAATATGATATGTACTCACTCATAAGTTGATATTAGACATAAAGCAAAGGATATCCACTCTACAGATCACAACCCCACAGAACCACAGAGAGACATAAAGGTATCTGCCTAAGAAGGGGGAAAAGACAAGACCTGAGTAAATTGGGAGTGTCGGGGGGGGCATGGTGCAGGGTGAAAAGAGAGACAGGAGGAGGGAAGGGGTGTGGTGAAAATTTTCACTTTTTATCAACTAATATCAGTATTCTGTCTTCAATTCTTCCTTGTATTCATTTTATAAGATTTATTCAATATTGTATGTTGTGCTTCTAGCAAATGACTATCCTGCACACATAAAAACATGCAATGCATTAGCATTGCATTGGGAAAAATGGAAGAGAATATAGCTTTAGAATAGAGCTTTACACCATCTTTGGGAATTCAAGGCAAGTAAGATTGGTTATTACATATTCTCAATAAGGCAAATGAAAGATAAGGGCTGAGTAGACAGTAAGAAAGCAGTCTCTTAAGTTATATTTGACCTCAAAGTATGTTATTCACTCTGGCTGTGTGGTTCAGCAAGTTTCAGTCTTAAAATGCAAGAGATGTTTGTTATCAAAAAGTACTGTCACATAAGTGCAATTCCTACAAGTTGATTTTTGTGGTTTGAATAAAAATGACCCCCCATTGGCTCACAGTGACTGGAACTACCTGGAGCTTAGAACTTGTCATAGTAATTGTGGCTATGCTGAAGGAAATGTGTCACAAGAGGGTTGTCTTTGAGTTATACATTAACTTCCTGTTGCCTGTTTCTTCAGATTTGTAACTCTATCTCATTCTCCAGAACCATTTCTGCCATGCTTCCCACCACAATGGTAAAGGACTAAACCTCTAAATCTGGTATTTGAATAGCTTTGTCACTTAAAAAATGATGATTCTGGAGAACAGTCATAATTCTTCGATGTGTAGTCATCAAAAAAGGGGATCAAACCTAAGCACTTGTGCATGCTACAGTACTAAACTAAGCCCTCAAAGGAGATTTTAGATTGTAATACTTCCACTTAACATTAATTCGCTTTTATATGCATTCTCCTTAAATTTTCAAATTAACATTTAATTATAGTTATGTTGTAGACAAATTTGGAGACATGACTAAATCACAAAAAAATCATTGAAATTTAATCACATACACATAATAAACAAAAATATTATGAAAATGTTACTGCTAATCTATCCATTTACCATCTGCATTCTTTACTCATAACTGCCTCTTCTACTGCTTCACCCCTAGCATAGATGGTATAGCAGGAAGAAAAGCAAATTTGTCTCCATCTCCTCATAAAATCCAGCCCAGACCTAACCCTGCAGCTCTAGCAGGAGAGTCCTGATGGGAGATGTCATTATGTATATATGTTTCTCATACTGGTTAATAATAAAGCACTGTTGGCCAATAGGAAAGGAAGATAGGAGGGACTAGGAGACAAGGAGGAAAGAGGAAGTAGGAAGGAGGAGTCAAGATGGAGAGTCTGGAAAAAGCAGTATGCCGCCGGCTCCCTGGTAAGAGAAATACATAGATCAGCAGAAATGGGTTAATACTTAAGACAGAGCTAGCCAATAAGAAACTAGTACCTGGCCAACAGTATAATATCTAATACAGAGTCTCTGTGTATTATTTGGGGCTGGCGCGGTGGGACAAGACCAGGCGTCAGGCAGAAAAACCGTACTCGTTACAGATGGCGCCCAACGTGGTTAATAAGAACTTCCACTTAAAATTTAACAAAAGCTTAAAAAAAGGTTTTAGAAACAAAAGAACAGAGACAAGCAAGGTTTCTTGGTAGCAGCATTTTTCTCAGTTGAACTCTGCTTTGCTAGAGACAAGCAGATATTCCTGACTCAGCATAAGTGGTAAAAAACCGCACAGCTTTTAAATAACTCTGCTAACAATTTATTGGTGTGTATGAGAGATGGCAATGGCAGTGACCACATCTCCAAGCCGGCAGCATGCTTTCTGAGTGGCAGCACAGACCAAGGCGGTGAGCACAGCTTTCTGTGGTGGCAGGTAAAAGTACCCGCCACCATCTTTGGTAAACCGGGGCAGAAACAAAGACTTTCATTTTAACAATGTTGTTGTTTAACAGATAAAGATTCATGGCCAGAAAAAGATAAAGATTTACAGTAGAGACAGATTCACATTAAGAAAAGGTGCTAAAAGTTTACAGTGTGTTTTAAAAAAATACATAGGCTTGGGAGAGAAAAATAAAATGGTTTTAAATAGACAAAGAAGAACTAGGTGTTGTAGCACATGCCTTTAATCCCAGCACTATGGAGACAGAGGCAAGCAGATCTCTGTGATTTGCAAAGTAAACCTGGTATGCAGAGTAAATTCCAGGACAGATAAGAGTTACACAGTGAAACCCTATGTCAAAAAATAAAAAAAATAAAAGTAAAATAAACAGAGTAATAAAGGCACGTAAAGATGAAAAGCTCAGAGAGAATCTGGATACTGTGTGCTATTGTGTTGTCTCTACATTGTTTGACTGCTGAGAAAATAACAACTGATAAAGGAAATGATGCTGGATTAGTTCAATTTATATATTTTAAAAATGCTTTGACTCCAACATTTAAGTTCAAGGACAAGTTACCGGGGAAAAGGATTTCTATTTTTGTTTCCACAGAAAATGAAAAGCTGTGGATTCCTTGCAGACTAATGTGGTTTGAGCAAGCCAGACCCCCTGAAACAGAGTTCCTGATGATCCAACATTCAAAACAGCTTGAACAAGGCAGACTTGCAGACTACAGCCAGGATTTCTGCAACTTCTTAGGATCCCCATGACAGCGCCCCCTATCAGCAGGAAGTAGTTTGGAAAGAACGACCCCAAATTCCCAAATATTGTTTATAAATGTTTGGTTTCATTTAAATGGACTTGGTTATAAATGGGTAATGATCACAACCAATATTCTTTTTAAAGGTAAAAAGGGAATTATGGTATAGATATGGATACTTTGTATTGGAATGGATTTTCATTTATTGATACAATTTAAGGTCAATTTTGTGATGTGTATATTCATTCTCCTTTTGTTTAGGTATTGTGTTTATATAGATCATTTAGAAATGTAATGTATAATGTAGTACAGATAATAGATAATTATCTATGATAGTCAAAGTCTAGAGTTAAGTTAGTTAGGTTTTTCAAGATACACAGAGATGTATTTGAGATAGATAGGCATTCTTCAAACCTTTCAAAGACCTACAGAATATGGCATTTAAAATGGTTTAGGGTTTTCGCGACAGTGAGACATAATTACTCTTGGCAATACCACCTGCACCAGAAAAGAAGATGGACATTGAAGAAACTCGTTTTGGAGTTTACTTCCAATATGGCAAGACTAGCCATTTGGACAAGATACTGCTCTTGTCTGGACTGTTTGACTTTATGCTGATAAACTGGTCATGCACGGCCCACAGAAAAGTGACTGCTGATTCAAGATGGACATTGCTATAGAAATCTGCTTCATGGAAGAGTCTGCCAGACAGTCTGCAGGACACAGAGAAAAGTGACTGACAAACTGCCAATACAAGAAGACAGTTTAAAGTTTCCTGCTTTACTGGAAAGTCTGTCAGACACACTATGGCCTATGGGCTGAAGATGGAAGATTACAGAAGAACTTCAGGTGACTGACAAGGCAAGATGTCTCTGTCATTTCTAGAGTTTATATACTATCCTTCTGTGGTCTTTGAAGGAGTTGAAGACAGATAGGTATGGTTATAGTTTTCCTTAGTTAGGATTCAATGATAAGGTACATATAGGACTTTAGACTCACAAGATAAAATAGATGATGGAATATTTTCTTAAATCTTGATAAATGTTAATGGACTAAATAGTGTTAACTGTGATTCTTATTTGATAACTGTTATGTGATATATTTTGCTATGTTAAGGTTAAAACCCTTCTTTTTATTTAAACAGAAAAGAGGAGATGATGGGAGATGTCATTATGTATATATGTTTCTCATACTGGTTAATAATAAAGCACTGTTGGCCAATAGGAAAGGAAGATAGGAGGGACTAGGAGACAAGGAGGAAAGAGGAAGTAGGAAGGAGGAGTCAAGATGGAGAGTCTGGAAAAAGCAGTATGCCGCCGGCTCCCCGGTAAGAGAAATACATAGATCAGCAGAAATGGGTTAATACTTAAGACAGAGCTAGCCAATAAGAAAATAGTACCTGGCCAACAGTATAATATCTAATACAGAGTCTCTGTGTATTATTTGGGGCTGGCGCGGCGGGACAAGACCAGGCGTCAGGCAGAAAAACCGTACTCGTTACAGAGTCCACTCCTGAGTTCCCTGGTCTTCCAATTCAGGGGACAGCATTGAACACAGATGTCTCACCAATAAGTTGTGGTTGAACTGCATCTTCCTTATATCTCTTTTAAAGTTCATTTATGAGACAAGGGATGCTGAGTGTGTGGGAACATGAGTAAGAAGTGGGTATGAGAGGTACAGTGGATGTGTGTAACATTTATTTTCCTGACTCTAATTTTCTACTATTGCAGGTGTCCAGTGTGAGTTGCAGCTAGTGGAGTCTGGAGGAGGCTTGGTACAGCCTAGGGGTTCCCTGAAACTCTCCTGTGCAGCCTCTGGATTCACCCTCAGTGATTTCTACATGAACTGGATCTGTCAACCACCAGGAAAGGGGCTGGAGTGAATTGCAGTGAGTAGAAACAAAGCTAACAGCTACACAGCAGAGTACAGTGCATCAATGACTGGCAGGTTGACCATCTCCAAAGATAATTCCAAAAGCAACCTTTACCTGCAAATGGACAGCATGGAACCTGAGGACAGCCACTTAATACTGTGCAAAATTTTAACTCAGTGAAGGGACTCCAATGTGAGCCCAGACACAAACCTCCCTGCAGGGATGCTCAGCAGCAGGGGGCGTACTTGGACACAGAAAATGACTGGATACTAGCTTCTCCGACTACTAAATTTCTGTGGAAATTTCTCTGAAACATATAATGCTGTGTCTAACACAAAAGCCTCTGCAGTGGAAAGTGGTAACTGTACAGAATGGATGAAGTATGGGAAACTTCAATGCAGGAGTAAACTTCTATTTGGCAAGAGGTAAATCCTGTAGACAAGAATATGTGAAAACATACATAAGCCTTTTTTAAAATTTTGGGTTGTGTTTAGACATATTTCTCTGTAAATTGTTGACAAATATTTCAATATGTGAAACTTCTACTGTAGATTGCACTTGCGTGTTTCTTCTGAAAAATGCATTGCAATTTTATTTGAAACCACTAATTGGAGCTTGTAAAAAAATTATTGCTGCCAAGCTCTTCTCATACTTGAAATTTATAGGTATGATATTAAGCTATGACCTCAAATGAAATATAAGATGGAAGCTTATCTAAAATGTTTGTATCATTCATGAAAAATGATTCCCTAACTTTTGATAAAAATCCATTTTATGTCATACAAATTACAATAAAATTAATTTTATGATGTTCTTTATTACAAAAACTTTAACAAATTGTAGAACATTTTTACAATCTAATGTCCATTTAAAAAGAATTCTTTGTACTTTAATAGATTTAACTCATGGCATTTGTTAACTGTCTTTATAATTTTTCTGCCTCCTTTTCTACAGAGTTGCCATTAAGGACTGACAATTCCATCGTGTCTCACACTTTTCACATTGTCATTCATAAGTCGCACATCTAATGAAGGAGAGAGGTTCTCTTAGGAGAGCCAACTAAAGGACCAATTTATGAGTATAGCATAATGTCATTGGGAGCAAGTTTGCAGTTCCTTTAGAAGAACAGTAGTATTTGACCTTGACTTAGGTTCTTTCCCAGAAGATCGGTGACATTTCTCCACGGCCATGGTCTTAATTCACATTGACTTCCCTTAGGTTGTTTGTTTCACACTGGTTGTGACTGTCCTACCTCAGTCTTCAGAACGCTCACACTGCAGGGTAGCAGCATTCCTGGATCATTCATTTAAATTATTTTGCCTCTCACTTGCCCCTTGTTTAAAATCCTCAAACAATCTGACTTTTATTACCACAGCTTTGTAGTGTAAAAGAGCATTTTGAAAATGGCATCCAGTGACTATACAGGTACCACAGTGATGAAGTTTGACTGTCCTTTTAACTAAAATTGACTCTATTTATCCTCTTATTAGCATTTATTCAGAATTATTTACCTTGCTGTTAATCTTGACTGCAAATACTAAGAAAGGTCCTAGAAACATGTGTTGGTCACCTCTTTTTCCATGCTCCATAGATAAGGACAGGTGGGCCTGGAAAGTTTTTCTAGAGTTAGGAGTGAGCCAGGATGGGACCTGGTCAGGATTATGGAGGTGTGTGAGAGTGGATCACCATGCATAGATAAAGGAGGTTTGTGGAGCATAAGTCAGCATGCATAGGTGAAGATTAGGAAAAGAGGATGTCTGCAACATATCTGTGTAACTGAAAGATCTGGTTGGTTTTGTTGAAAATGAGAGGCACACTATGAGAAGCTAATTTTCGTTCAGTTATTTTGGAACCCTGAGGTCATCAAAAATTTCTTTTGATTGACAAGCCAGCCTAAGTCTTTTCCTTCCTCCTTCTCAATCTTCTGTCCTAGTCATCTCAATTCCTTTGTATCTTAGCCAATTCTCATGAACACTTTCTACCATGGACCACTATGGCTACCTGGGTTTGGTTCTGAGGTCTCATCTTTCACGTCATCAAACGATATCCCAGAATTTTGTCTGCACTTGTCATCTCTGGAGGCCTGGAGATCAGAGGGTAGAGATAACTATTGGTTATCCATAGAAGCCAGGCAGTGATGGCAAATGCCTTTAATCTAGCACTCTTGGTTCACACCTGTAATCCCTGCCCTTGGTATGTAGATACAATGTCATCCTTTTTGGATGTAGGAACAAAACAGGTAGGAAACTGCTGGCAGCTATTCCTGAATGTCTGAACTTTCCAGTTGTTGCCCTGATACCTGATTTCTGATTTTCATTGATTAAGATTAATTAAATTAATATTTCATGTTGCTTCATTTTTTTGTTCATGAAATCATGAAATAGACACTTGCCTTTAGCTTTCCAGGCAACAGCACCTGCAGGAGCTAAACCTGGAAGGAACTGTACCTAGTAGAGACACAGCACCACCAGTCACCTTTTCCTTTCTTCCCCAAGCCCTCTGACCCAGTCTGTAATTTTTATTCTGGTGCAGACTCTTTACAGCAAATAACACAGGTTCATGTGTTCCAAATGCTACCAGACTCAACTGTTTTTGATTGCCCCCAGTGCCGACAGGTGACTCTTTGGCTTCTTTTCCCCAGTGGGTTGGGGAATTTCCATTGATCCACTCTTTATACTGCTCAAAGACCATCAGCAGCATCTGTTTGCACTCAGCCAGGATGGTAACAGCCTGTGTTGTCCATTCAGATTGTCTAAGCACCACATTTGCACCATCATCGGAAGCAGTTTTGCAGAGGGAATTGGAAATTCTTAGAATGAAAATTAATTTAAAAAAACAGTGTTTTCCAAGGCAAAATAATTGAAAACACCAATATGAAAGGAACTATGTCTCTGTATTGTGTGGTTTAAAAAATGGAACAAATAAATGAGGGAAGAATCAATTAGATGGTCTCCACACAATGCCAATTATTAACCTTACTGGATTGAACATTTTTATTTTATCACTAAAAAGTTGTCTGATATGAATGTCAAGTTGATTAACATGAGTCCCCACAGACATGTCTTAGAAATAGTTAATAGGCATTGGTCCAGAGTGTGGGTCAAACACCCCTCCACAACCTTGGTACTTTCTGAGTCTGCTTTGAGCACATGGCACTTGCCTATCCATGATGGACCACCTTGAGGCTGCACTCACCTGATCTTAGTGCCCTATCACCTGCTCTCTGCAGGAGAGACCTCCAAGGGAGCTATATCACCTAGAGTTACAGACATTGAGTTCCTGACACGACTACACCCATGGGGAGAGGAGGGTAGAAAGGGAGAAACTCAATCTGCATCCACTGTAAGAAGCTATGGGAAGATGGCAATAAAAGAAAACACCCAACAATAGAAAGGCCAGTATGGCACCACTAGAATCTAAGGACTCTATACAAACTAGACCTCAATAAAGGTTTGAAGAGAAAACTGACTCTAGAGAAATGTCCAGAGACCTACAAGTCTGACACCAACTAACAATGTGAGCAACAGTGGAAAGGCTACCATAAATGCCCTTCCCTGATAATGAGATTGATGACTAACTTATCTACCATCATAGAGCCCTCATCTAGTAGCTGATGGAAACAGAAGCAGACACCCACAGTAAACACTGAGCCAAACTAGAATCCAGATGCAGAGAGGGAAGACAAGACCAGGCTACATCAACCCACAGAGACAGCTGATCTGAAGAAGGAGGAGCTAATGGGTCCCCAGACCGATAGCTTGGAAACCAGCATTGGACAGACTCAGAACCCCTGAATATGTGTTTCAGTTAGAAAGCCTGGGCAGTCTAAGGGACCTCTGACAGTGGAACCAGGAAGTATCTCTGTTGCACAAATGGACTTTGGTAGCACATTCCCCATGGAGGGATACTCCCTTAACCTAGAGGCAGGAGGGTGGTCCTAGTCCCTACTCCCAATGACTTAACACATTTTGTAGACCCCTCCTGGAAGCCACCATGCTCCCTGTGGAGTGGAGGGTGATGGGATGGGAGGGTAGTTGGGGGCCATGGGAGGGACAGGAAACTGGGATCGATATGTAAAATAAGAAAAAATAAGTAAATTAATAAAAAATATAAAATTCAATACTACAATAAACCCAAATTTGGAACACTTAAATGAGGGAATAATTTATTAGATGGGTTACACACAATGCCAATTATTAACATTATTATTGATCGCTAACATATTGGACGATATGAGTTCCAAGTTACTTAATATGAGTCCCAACATACAGATCTTAGAAAGAGTTAATAGGCATTGGTCCAGCATGTGGGTCAAACACCCACTCCACTCACTTGAAACTTTCTTGTGTCTGCTGTGAGCACACTGGATCTGCCTATCCATAAGGGAACACCTTGAGGTCTCACTCACCTGATCTTAGGGCCCCATAGCCTGATCTCTGCCCGAGAGACCTCCAAGAGAGCTTAGATCACCCAGACTTACAGACATTGAACTGCTGACCCACCCACACCTATCAGGAAATCAGGGTAGACTCCACCTGCATCCACTAGAAGAAGTGATCAGAAGACAGCAATATAGGAAAAGACCCAACAATAGAATGTAGTACTATACACTAACTAGACCTGAACACACCAAAGTAAATGAAGCAGAAGAGAATTACTGAAAAATAACTTCATAAAAATGAAAGACTCTCAAAGATGATATGAGAAAATTCATTAAAGAAATGGAAGAAATGGAAGACAAGACCAAACAAAAAATGCAACAAATGAACAAATCTCTAAAAGAAAGTAAGAAAAGTCAAGAAAAACAATCAAATAGTTGAAGGAAACAACCCAACCAGTGCGACCAGAAAATTGAAATAGAGACAATAAAGAAAAGTCAAACTGAGGAAATGCTGGGTATAGAAAAGTTGGTAAAATGACCAGGAACTACAGATGAAAGTATAACAAACAGAATACAAGAGATCAAAGTGAGACTCTCAGGCAATGTAGATAAATGAGAGGAAATAGAT